AATCCAATTTGTATAAGGAACCATGACACTAAGATTCGAAAGCATAAACGTCGTCCTTTAAGCCACATGGCACTAGGTGATTAAGTTAAATGATAAATCAGGTAATCCAGACATCTCTTAGGCCACAGCTACGATGGAAACATATTTGTAAAGCAAATGCATTTGCTAGTAAACTCGATTCTTCTACCTACGATCTGGAATGGATGAGAACCTATTTTTCCAATACATGGCATAGTAGAGTTTTTCGGGAAAAAAATTATTGCATTACAGCGATTTTGTTGAGATCAGAAATCGGATCCTAAAACACCAATTTGCCGATGGTGCTTGTAAAGTTGGAAAAAAATGTAGAATTAAAACTGGCAAGACCCCGAAGTTGTTAGTAAGTGAGTACATTTATTTATTTTTCGCATTTAAGTAATGTTTCGAGACTACCAGTAAATCAGTAGTATGAGATATATTCACCCAATTTCGCTTAAGGCGATGAAGAACTGGTAGAAGCATTTTCCCACAATCGTATGAGTAGAGCGGACGTTTCCATTGACTTTCACATAGCCTTGCTTTCGCAAAAGTTCTTCTCATCCAGGCACCAGTGGACTGCAGTTTCGACCTCGAATAGGTCTTGTCAACACCCCCAGCGGGACTCGAGTCATGCTAATGCAGCATGTTCTCTTGACACGTCAACCATTCAGCCACATTTCCACGAATGCTCTGGAGCATAGGGCAAATGGGAATTTCAAGAAGGGCCAGGCCTTTTCCCATATAACATTCTTTGGTGGGAATGTCGATGAAGCAAACGTATTTTCGCTATATTAATCGATTTCCATACTTTTTTTCGTATTTAATTAGAGTTTCGAAACATTTCTTATTCATGATTTAGTGAAAATCTCGAAACTATACTTATTCGAAAAATGAGTAACGTAGTCGATTGTTATGGCAAATATACGTCTGCTTTATCGACAATCACACCAAAGAATGTGATATGGGAAGAGGCCTGGCCTTCTTTGAAATTCACATCCGCCTCGTGATCCAAGGGCACTCAAGTGGTTAGCGTGTCAAGCTGACATGTTACAATGTCATGGCTCGAGTCCCGCTGGTGGTGTTGCCAAGAACAATGCGAGGTCGAAACTGCAGTCCACTAGTGCCTTGATGGGAATAAATTTTGGGAATGCAGGGCTGTGTGTAATTCAATGGAAACTTCAGCTCTACCAAAATCATTGTGGGAAAATTCTACTACCAGTCCTTCATCAGCTCAAACGAATAAATCTCATAGTAAACTACTTTTGCCCGGCCCTTCTCTGGCCCAGTAGTCGTGATAATCTCACAGTGTCGGTGTGCTTATGTGAGACTGTACCAAGTGCACGGTGTGAAAATAGAAATTGTCACGACCACTCAGACAGAGAAAGCTGGACAAACGGTATTCGACGACCTTTATTTGACTTTAAGGAATCTTCTTTACTTTTTTGCCTGTTCTTCATCACCTCAAAGTGAATAGGGCGAGCAGATCGCATATATCTGAAGTTCTGTAAGTCTAAAAACTCTACTTAAAGTGGAAAAATGAATAATTTAGTCGAATATTATAGCAAATAAAACTTCGCTTCATCGTCAATTCCAACACAGAATGTGATATGAAACAATGTCTGGTGTTCCTTGAAATTCACATCTGTCCTGTGGCGCAAGAGCAATCGTGGCAGTCTGGCGTAGTGGTTCGACTTCAACTGACTGTGCCGATAGGACTTGTGCGAGGTTGAAACGCCAGTCCCGCCTGGAAGAGAAAAACTGTCTGGGAAGGTTAAGTGAAATTCAATGGAAACGCCTACTCATGTTCTACTCACATGATTGTGGAAAAATTCAACTACCAATCACATTATCGGCTAACAACGAAATAGCCTGAATACACCTTTTTTATATATACTCCTATTTGGTTTAAGCTGATAATGTGATTGGTAGTTGATTTTTCCCACAATCACGTGAGTAGACCATGAGTAGACGTTTCCATTAAATTTCACTAAACCTTCCCAAAAGGTTTTCCTTTCAAGGCTGGACTGCAGTTTTCAAATATTTATATTTATACATTGGTAGACTCGATAACCTACCTATAAATTAAAAATATCGAAATCATTTTTGTGAAGACTTCGTTTAGTCTGAAAATGCATGATAAAGAGAATTGAAGGTCGACGGTTGAGTCTAGTTGTACTACAGACAATGTGTTTTAATACGACGTTTATGTTGACGAAATCAGGAAGACACCTGCTCGTTTGGGGTGAGACGGACTAAGCCTTTGTTCCTGATGCCCCACGACGAGCATCATCAGAAGTGGAACTCATTGTTGTGAAGATCTCAAGTTGACACCAAGTCTAAATGAGAAATGAAGAAAAAGTATTGTCCGAGTCTGGGGAATCCCTTTTTCTCTCCTCCTCTGCTGTGCAACCCCGAAACAATTGGCTTTCGGCAGTTTCACGCCGGCCAATTCGACCTAGACTGACCGTATTTTCACTGCTTGGTCGCGCTGTTGGGAAGACTTTTAAGAAGTCATTTGGTTCGACGTGCTCTGGTCTAAAAGACATGCCAATTTGGCTTCGTCCGACCGTGGAGTCGCTTGGGATCCGTGACCCTGAGCTACCATTCATCAATGGGACAAGTGAATAAGATGATGAATTTTCCAGTGGATTTCGCTTTGCCTTGTTTCCCAAAAGACACAATGTCCAAGCTGCTGGTATTACCGAAGCCTACTTGATACGAATATAAGTAGTGAGTCTGATTGTAATGAAAAATATAGATTTGCCCTATCGGCAATTGCACAACAAAAATATGTTTTCAAAAGTGACCTGGTCTTACTTGAAGTTCACATCCGCAACAGGTCGACCCGGACCACCGCAATCCGGGTTCAGTTCGGGCGTGGTAGAACCGACAGTCCAATGCATCTGGGATGAGAATACCGGTTGTGAAAAGGTATGGCCTAGTCAAAAGATTGTGTAAAAGTTCAAATGCCAGTTCCTTCACACCTGCTTCAAGATCTACTTTCTACACGAATATGCAACAAATAAACTCAAATTTCTCGACACACCCCACATTTATACTCTACACAAAGTCCTCCTGTTCTGGTACAGCGAATTTTGAAGTGATGGAATTTGTGACAGCAGGATGACAAAGTGAAGGGTTCTGTGACATGACCGTCCAGCAAAAAGGGCAGCAAGACAAGAAATGCACTTCATTCGTCTCGTTGACGGGTGCCAACTCCAACGTGATCCTACTTCCGTTTCCGGTGAAACCAATTCACAGACTCCCACTTTCCTCAAATCCAGCAAACTCTTTCTTCGAAATGTGAAGTCGAGTCCGGCTAGCTGGCCAAGGGATTTTGCGAAGCATACCTCCTCTTTTTGTTTACGTCCGGAAGCGCACGGAGTTCAGGCTGTAACGTTGACAAATGGCCCTTGGCAACATGAATCTGTCGTGAAACCAAGGCCGAAACAACTTCATCCAACCGACGGACAGATGGCACACTCTTGGTCGTCATGATGACAAGTTTTTTTTGGCCGATTTCAACAAAGTGTACCGACAGAGACTTGTCTCTCGACGGCTGGTCTTCTCAGATCGTGGTCGTGGCCTAGGGCCACCCTTCGGCTCGTTGTCTTCATCAAGATCCAGCAAAGGCTTGCCAGTTGCCGTCTGCGAATGTCCACCGCTAAAAAGGAGGGGGAGGAGGAGAAAATAGAAAAGGAGAATGAATTGTCTAGAAGGAAGGGTTGGGCGGTCCTCGCTCAAAAAACCGCAAC